GGAAGGAAGGGGAGGAGGAGGGGATAAGGAAGGAAGGGGAGGAGGAGGGGATAAGGAAGGAAGGGGAGGAGTTGGGGATAAGGAAGGTGGTGGGGTACCTGCCGAGGCTTTTGGCGGTGAAGGCACCGGAGAAGTCGGAGGCGAGGGGGCTGGCTGTTGAGGCCATAGTTGAGGTGGTGCAGGCAATGGAGCCACTTCAAAGGGAGGGCTTCGCTGCATATCTGGTGGCCATGTCCAGGGGCAAAGCAAAGGGACGGCTGTTTGCTGTGGATATGGTCCTGGCGATGCTGCCGGTGCTGTTGCCGTCGGAAATCGATGAATCTGGTCTCCAGGAGGGCTCTTGGGGGCTCAAGTGTGTCCAGGTGTTGGTGGAGAGGTGTTCGGATAGCGCTGGAGCGGTCCGGGCTCGGGCCTTGACAAATGCAGCCCATGCGCTTGATGTTTTGTCTGAAAGAGGTGTGGAGGTCGATCGACTGCAGGAGGTGATGAAGATTGGGAACATGGGTCTTGGAGAGTTGTTGAGGAGAAGGTGCATTGATGATAAGGCTGCCGTCAGGAAAGCTGCACTTGTGCTCATCACCAAGGCAATTGGTTTGATTGGCAGACCTGTCGATGAGTCGCTACTTACTGCAATGGGGGCTGCGTGCTCTGATCCGCTAGTCACCATTCGCAAGGCGGCTCTTGCAGCCATCTCAGAGGTGTTCCGGAAATTCCCAGATGAGAGTGTGACAAAGGAGTGGCTTCAGGCTGTGCCATCGCTGATGATTGATAGTGAGACCAGTATCCAGGAGGAATGTGAGAACTTGTTTCTTGAACTGGTTCTGAACAGGGTCTGCCAAGCTGCCAATTTGAAACTGGATGATGATTCAGTCAACTTGGAGGAGCTGTTCCCGGACGGGACACTGGATTTGCTGAAAAGCATATGTGATGGAGAGGTTGTTCCCTGCATAAAAAGGATATGCGCAAGCCTTGGGAAGAAGAAAAAGCTGAGACCAATGCTTGCTAGTTCACTCCAGAATATAATTACAATATCTGAAACCTTGTGGTTGAGAAGTTCTAAGCCAATTGAGAATTGGACTGCACCAGCTGGGGCTTGGTGGCTTCTTTCCGAGGTCTCCTCATTTGCGCCTAAATCAGTTAACTGGAAGTTCCTCTCTCACCACTGGAAACTCCTTGATAATGTTGGCCAAGAAGGCAAAGGTAAAGCTTCTTCTGAAGGGGAACCAAACTCTGCACTCTGGGCTGTGGATCGTGTTTCACTCCTGCAAACTATTTCAAATGTCTCCATGGAGCTACCTGTGGAGCCTGCAGCAGAACTGGCACACAGCTTACTCACGCGGATTGAAAATTTTGATATGAACCTGAGTGAGGTAATCATTTATTGAATCCAAAGCAATATCTACTCTGGTGCCAATAAGTTTTTCATGTTACAGTGGAGTCTTGCACTCTGTTATGTCATGGACTGCTGGACTAGTCTGGCAACTGTGTTCTGAATACACCAAAACCCCAGTTAAATCCTCATAAGTCCAGGCATAAATCTACTAGATCCCGTTACATTGTACACTAGCTCTATTCCTTGTGATAGTGGGACTTGGAGTATCTACTGAGAGTTATTGTAAACTATTGTATTTCATAAGGCCTTGAATGTAGGTAAACATGTTATAGTTATTTAATAGGCAGAACTGTAGACCCATAAGTCGTGTCTGGGTATCATACACCTAAATATAATCCAAAGTATGCTATGTTAACTTTCTGAAAGGGATATACTTCCAGCTTAGCTGTAGCAACTACCGCAGTCACAAAATGGCCCTGTAAAAACCCACCAGTTACAGGTTTGGGCTCGAATCATAAGATAATGCAGTGTCTATGCGTTGCTTTGATTATTTGTCATATATCTATTATTTGTCTATCCGAAGTTCTGCAAAATGTTCCCAATGCATTCGTGTTATCTCTTCAATGACAGATTTCTGGGTTGTTGAGTAAATGCATATCAAGAAACGTTTCATTGACTGTAGCTATATTAGGTATTGTAGCGTACTGTATCAACAATAGCTAGAGGGCTGGCCTGGGGCGTGCACTCATCCTTGCTCTGCTACTGCATATCATTGTTCTGTACCAACATCATTCCTAACAGAAGTAGGATTTATCCATATCTTGATGGCAATGTTTTATTTCATGCACATACAGGTCGATGCCCATGTAAAGTCACTGAAAACTTTATGTAAACGGAAAGCGAAAACGGCAAAGGAAGCTGAAGCACTAATAATGAAGTGGGTTCAGCAACTTATCAATAAAGCAGTTGATAATCTAGAACGCTACATAAAAGGAACATCACAAGATTCCAGGGGTTGTAGCTACAATACTCCTCTGACCGGCAAACTTAAGGGAAGAAAGGAGGCATCCACATCAAAGGAGATGTCAGAAGCTGTTATTGCCGTCTTCACCGTTGGATCAGTGATCCTAGCTTGCCCTGATGCTAGTGTGCAAGGCATCATTCCTTTGCTGCACACAGTCATAACCTCTGGAAACCCCGAGCCAAGACCAACAATGCTTGCAGGTGGAGCCGTTTCTTTCAATGAGGTAGCTCCATCATTATATATACAGTCGTGGGATACAATGGCGAAAATATGCCTTGTAGATGACAAACTAGCAAAACGATATATTCCGCTCTTTGTTCAGGTGCGTCCCCTCCAACTGCACTCCTGACTGTTCTTAACAAATAGACACTCAGTGTTACTTGTATAAATCAGGAGCTTGAGCGGAGTGATTTGGCTACCCTCCGGAATAACATCATGATAGCAATGGCTGACTTTTATGTACGCTATACAGCACTAGTTGACTGGTGAGCTTATATCTCTGAATGGTCACCCTTCAATAACTCAGTTACATTGATTATTTCAAGCAGATATGCATGTTCCGATATATTAGGTGGTGTCGGCTCCTGTACATCAGATGTAATTGATATGCACACTTTGGGATGTTCACACATATTTTTATTCACACAATGAAGCATGATAGAATTACTCCCCTTGCCTTTTTTTCTTGGGCTTGGCCATTTTTCAAGTTACATAGTTCCAGTGCTTGATCCAATATGAGCTTAGGTAACTCCATTTTCTATGTCTATAAAATGAAAAAAAACATATATTAAAAACTGAGAGAGATACTTGACTTCAAATTAGATGGTACGGGAGCATGAGCTGCAGCTATTGCTGGCAATTAAGATCAAAATAATAAGAATGTCTTGTGGCATATACCAACAGCAGTTCTTTTGATTCTGTACATTCTGTTTTTGATGGTAATTACCAAAAGAAAAACTGTAATTGTTTTATGTGAAGACCACCATAGTATCTTATCAGCTACACTGCACATGTATTTTTACATATAGTTAATTGTTAAATTTGCAAATATGAACTTACACTGACCCCTCCTTTGTTTTACAGTTATATGTCAAAAATAACAAAAGTGCTGCGTGATCCCTGCGAAGTAGTACGGAGGCAAACGTTTGTCCTACTCGCGAAGTTGCTGCAGGTGCTTTGTCATTCTTTCAGTGTCACTTCCTTTGTCCCACAACATAAGATCCTTTTTCAAGCTAACATACCTTGAAAACGATCTTATATTGTGGGACGGAGGGAGTACATCTAAATATCCATGTGGTAATTAATTGAAGCTATTCTTTTACCTAGAGGGATTACGTAAAATGGAGAGGAGTGCTTTTCCTTCGGTTTCTGCCATCTTTAGTTGACGAATCGGATAAGATAAGGCATTTGGCTGACTACCTATTTGGAAGCATCTTAAAAGGTTTACTTATTTTACTCTTGGTATTCTGTATCATTTTCTTAAGTCACTGCATGCCTAACATGAACATAAATGTTGCAGCCAAAGCGCCACTTCTTGCATATAACAGTTTCATAGAAGCTATCTACGTCCTAAACAATTGCACAGGACATGGTGGATATAGTGAGTCTCAGTCTCAGTCTCAGAGTTCTCAAGGGTCTCAAAGTTCAGACAGAGGACAAACCCTTTTCGCGATACGGTAAACATATATATGCATGATGTTCACTTTGTAAAAACCATGTCCACCTTTACCTGACATTTATTGTGACTTTCTTATTGCAGGGGAACTGACGAAAGTTCAAGGTCAAAACGAATGCACATATATGTGTCCTTGTTGAAACAAATGGCCCCGGAGCACCTTCTAGCTACATCAGCCAAGTTATGTGCTGAGATCTTAGCAGGTGTTTGTGATGGCTTACTAAGTGTTGACGATGCAGCTGGAAGGGCTGTAGTTCAGGTATGTACCTGTCTGTATATTGCGGCAGATCACATGGCGCTGGACATAAACTATATGATTTCCTAGCGTTTTGTGATGCAAAATATGTTTTTTTCCCTACAGGATGCTCTACAAATACTAGCTTGCAAGGAGATGCGCATCCATCCCAGCATCCTCGCGGACAATTTCGAGATGGACGACGACGGTGGAGATGGCGGGACGGCCAACGCCCTCCAGGCGGCCAAAGGGAGGGCGGTGACCCAGGTGGCAAAGAAGAACCTGATTCAGATCGCGATCCCGATATTCATCGAGCTGAAGCGGCTGCTGGAGAGCAAGAACAGCCCTCTGACGGGGTGCCTGATGGAGTGCCTGCGCACCCTCCTCAAGGACTACAAGAACGAGTTCGATGAGATACTGGTGGCGGACAAGCAGCTGCAGAAGGAGCTCCTCTACGACATGCAGAAGTTCGAGGCCGGCAAGGGCAAGTCGTCCAGGGACGGAGAGGCCGCCGGCCCCAGCAGGAGCTCTCCGGCTGCTCCTGACCCGGGTGACGCGGCTGCAAAGGCCACGGCGCGGTCGGTGCTCAAGGAGATGAACCGGAACGTGCCGACGCCGCCGCTGCACACCATGAGCGTGCCCAAGGTGAAGTCGGTGCTGGGCACTGGGGCGCTGAGTGGCTCGCGCCGACCGGCTATCCTAGAGTCAGTGAGGCGGCTCGAGCCATTTGGATCAGACGATGAGAATTAGCATGCTAACAACTTGCAATCCAAGGTAAAAAATAGAAGGCCTTTTACTTCTATTGTTGCATGCACATGTAGATATGATGTACTCCCTCCGTTTCTAAATATAAGTCTTTTTAGAGATTTCAATACGGACTACATATGGATGTATATAGACATATTTTAGAGTGTAGATTCACTCATTTTGCTCCGCATGTAGTCCGCATTGGAAGCTCTAAAAAGACTTATATTTAGGAACGGAGGGAGTACTTACTAGAACTTGATATGTCCATTCCCAATGAGATCTATGGATTAGTGTGGCTTTTCTTCCCATTTTTACTGGTATTCTTCAAACATGAATAAACAAGTTTTGTGAATAGTAGCTTATGTCTTGAAGTTCAAGCGTACTGAGCCTAGGGCAAAAATACATCTTGATGTATTGCTCTCTATTTTGTGATGATTATTAACATAAGCATGCTTACTCATCCTAAGTCATTTATTCTCATCGGCAATGGGAGATATCTACATACTTCTCAGATATGTTGTGCAGTACTTTCCTCTATTCACCGGTTTATAGCTACGGGTTTTGTGTGCAAAATGTGCTCTTCGAGCTTCTTTTTTTCCGCATGGCCCAACTTTGCATCTCAAGTCCCTACTTAGCTAAATTGGAAGTTATCTCATTTCTGGACCACAACTTACTGTTCTATATATGCACCTTCACTGGGAGCGGTTCTTAGGGCTAGTTCTTTTGGGCAGCTTAAAAAAATAAGCTGCGCCTCTTCCCAGCTTAAAAAATAAGCCGCCCCCTAAATTTGTTGAGACTTCTAAATTAGTTATCTCATAACTAGTTTAGAAGCCCCAATGTATGAGAGGCGGCTTATGGGAAAAGCTAGGGAGGAGGTGGCTTATTTCTTGAACTGCCAAAAGAACTGGCCTTTATATTTCTTTTGTGAACATTATCCTTAAGCCAATAAAAATGAGAGAAGTCCTACAGTAAAATGCCATAAATATGAATTATCCACTCAACATTCAAAAACAACTCTATAACATCTCAGTTATTATTATTATATTATATTTATATAAGTAAGACATGACAAGAAATTTTGATTTAGCTCAGTTTTGTTTTGTGCTACTTTCCTGGGTGATTGCCCATGTCATACAATTGGTTTCCCAAACTGTTTCCAGCAAAGAACAGGCGGCGTTCTTTTGTTTTATGAATGGGACCATGTGAAGCGCATATATCAGTGCATTGATGAGCAAATTCTCTACAGTAATACTCCCTCTGTATAGAAATATAAGACCGTTTAGATCAATGAAGTAGTGATCCAAACGGTCTTATATTTCTTTACAGAGGGAGTACATCTCTACTTGAACTGCTATTTTTATATCCATTCACCTTTTGGACCATACATTTTGTTAGTCACGGCTCATTGATTCTCTTCATTTTCAGGAAATGGAGTTAACATTGTTTACCATTCAAGGTGTGTGCATGCGAAGCCGCTTTACACGTCATGATGTTTACAAGACAGAGCAAGAGCAAATTTGTGTTCATTTCATGGGGCATTATGTACTGAGATGTCATATGCACCTGCAAGAGCTTTGATATTATTAGGGATAGCACTTTCAGAAATATGTAACTGTATCATGATGCTAAGAGGGACAACTTATACTACTAGGCTCATCTTCTCAATGAGTTTCTTTTCTTTTTCTCTTTACTGATTGATTCTGTAGATGTGTAACTGTAATCGAATGGTGTCGAGAAAGCTGAAATGATTGCAAGTGCTGTCTTAACTAGTTGTACAATAATTGCTCAGATGTATCTTAGCAATGCAGCTCCAGGCTTTTGAACTTCTATTTACACGAGAAGAGGAATACAAAGAATTCCAGTTTTAGGCATAAAAACATCATCAGTTTGTTCCTCTGAATGTATTAACATGTACAACGAATACAAGAATGAACAGATGGCCTGACACCAGAGAATAAAATTTGCTGGACCACTATGGTTAAACTCAAATTTTTTGCTGGACCATAGAAATCTTTTCTTTTTCTGTTTTACAGGGCCTATCTTCTACTCCCTCTGTCCCAAAATGCAGAACGTTTTTGCTTTCCACGTACAAAATCCCGAGCGTAACGAAATTTTCTTCGTTTTGACTTTTACCCTCGCCCCGACATTTCTCTCCCAAGTTCCCTCGCCCACTCTTCTCTACAGCTCCCATTCCCTGTCATGGTGGAGACGGCGCCCTACCCCATCGACACCATCAAAACCAGGCTTCAGATGAGCCGCTTCTGCATTTCAAAGTAGTGCCCGTTTTATTTTTTGGTCTGAAGATGTGCAGTCCAGTCTCCGATTTTGCTTGTTTGGAATGGCCGGTCAATTAGTCCCCAGAACCTGCTCTCAAGTACGTAACTGGTTATTTTACACAAAATGCCCAACAATGGCTTGTAGGGATGCTTAGGTTTTGCTTTTTAGGCGCAAACTTCTGGCTGTAAACTGAATTTGTCAACTTTGGTCTGTAAACTCAATTTTAGTGGCGGTGTTCCAAATGAAGTGTAGCAGAAGCACAGTGTGCCTCTGCTTGCTTCTGGCAAAACCAGGGGGTCTATGAATTTTAGTGCCTCTGCTTACTTCTGGCAGAATCCATTTGTTCCAAATAAACTGAATTTTAGTGTAGTAGCAGAGGCACATCGTGCCTCTCAAAATTGCTTCTACTCCATCAAGTTGAAGCCAGAGGGTCTATGATCTGTAAATTTGAACCATCAAGTTTAATCTCATGAATAAATGTACCAAATCAAACAGAGTCTCTACTGTTTTCATTAGAGGTAAACCAGTCACACTCCATGTTTCGTGTATAATGATTGGTGTGCTTCTCATACTCCATGTTTACTGTTTTCATTAGAGTTCATGTTTCCCGTCGGAGGAGATGGAGCTGCCGGACGGCAAGGCCAGCACCTGCTCCTGCCTCCAGCATGTGGTGAGCAGCTTGTCTAGACCTGCTCCTGTGAATATTGCTCTGTTCCTGTTGAGAGCGTATGCTTACAGAGATGAATGTATGTGCCACACCTGATACATGAGTACCGGTGGACCTGGAAGGTGAAATAGATAGAAAGGGGTGAGCGTGTGTGTGCCAGTGGGTCACATGTGGCCAGGCGTGTGTGTGTGTGTGTCTGTGCAAGTATAAGAGTACCTTGTACTCTGTGGAGACTTATGAAATGAGAAAAGTCTAGTTGCTCCTCTCCTCCGTCCCCTGCCTCTGGCCGTGAGGCCTTTGGTATCTCAGAGCCAACAAAATTTCCCTAGAAGTTTTTTCTGTCGCAGTTCTCCTTACTCCCTTGTCAGATCGGTAACATCCACCACCCTCCGGTGAGGTCGCTTGAAATCCTCTGCGGGGTTCGATCTACTCGGGGCTGGAGCCACGGCGCCCTCCAAGCCCTCAGCGCAGGCAAGGCAGGTGATAGCCGCCATGGGAACTCAGACAACCAACCTCACCGCCTTGATGGAGAAGCTCCTGTCCAGATTCGACGAGGAGAGGGACTTGGCGGACAAGCGGGCATAGGCGCAGACGGCGTTCAACACTCAGGTCTCCCACGAGTTGAAGAGCTTGTCGAAGCAGATCGGCCTTACTCAAGAAGAGGTCGATGACGTGCGTAAGGCTGCATCCCCATCGGCGTCGTCAGCCCCATCCACGGGTTCCCAGGTGGACGATCCATCGACGACGGTCCTACACACACCTGCGGCGCGGCCGGGGCCTCCTCCACCACCACCCGATCCGCGCGCCGCACCTCCGCCAAGCGCCTGCCCATACCGCAGACCATCGGGGGGCCAACGCCGCTCACACGACTCACAAACGAAGGGCCGCCCCTTCTATCCAGGCCAGATGACCAGATCGGGCTGCCGGAGCGGGGGTTTCCGTCAGCACCAGCGCCACGGAAGGAGTACTTCGTCAGGCCACTCAAACATCATTTCCCCCGTTTCCATGGTGCTGCACCTCGTGTTTGGCTGGATCGTTGCTTGGCTTACTTCGAGCTCTACCATGTGCCACAACACAACTGGGTGGCAACAGCAGCACTCTACGTTGAAGGCCATGCCGCCCTCTGGCTTCGGGCCTTCCGCCAGACATATCCAGTGATCACTTGGGATTTGTTTCGCCAGGCAGTGGAAGAGGAATTCGGCCCTGAGGAGTTCGAGTCTGCGATGCATGATTTGTTGTAGCTTCGACAGACAGGCACAGTTGCAGAGTACAGACAACAATTTGAGGTGCACATGTATAATCTCATTGCACTCGATGCCACATTGAGCTCCAAATTTTTTGTCACCCAATTTTTGCTCGACCTCAAAGACGAGTTGCGAGCCGCGGTGCGCATCCAAGCACCAACCAGCATTATGCTGGAATTTTGTCTATTTTGGGCCTAGCCTAATAGCAGTTTCAGAAATTCCTAATAAATCCTAGAGGCCCACACAGCCCATTTGTGCAAGGCAAGAGGGGAACAAAAATTTAGTCCCACATTGCTAGTCGAGTGGGAGTTGGATCTCCTTATAAGAAAGGTTCTCCCCACTTGTACGAGCATGAGAACAAGAGGGATATCCACACGCGCTCCTCCGCCGCCACGCCACGCCACGCCACGACGCGTCGTCTCCCTTCGTTGCTTCACCTCCCGTCGCAGCCTCTTCGCGTCCTTCTCCTGTGCCTATATAAGAGAGGTCGCTCCGCTGCTTCATCACGGACGATCCGGTCGCCGACGACTACTTCCCCGACGTCCACGACCTCCTCGACGACATGGCAGGCGAGGACACTGACGCCAAGTCCAGCGCTTCTGTTGCTGCTGTCCCGTACGTGTTCTTCTCTTTCCTGTTAAAGGTTCTGCCACAGTTCCTTGTTCTAGTCCTTGTCCTACACATGTTAGGTTCTACTTCATATATACTACTTGCTATACTGTCCGCTTTAGATATGATAGGCTACGGTTCATATATGCAGAAGCTATTTACTTTCTCTCTGTCAGAACGCATGACTCGTTTTATCTCTTCTATGT